TTCTAGGTGTGTCTCACCTCCTCAAAAGGCCTCAGATGAGGGACTCCAGTTGCTTTTTATAGTTCCAGACCCTTCCTGATTTACATTTCTGGTGGGTAAACAATCATGCTGATAAAACAGTTGTGCTTTGCCTTTAATTGGAGTCTGTCAGTTTTATTTTGTAAATAATGGTTCTTTATGTCTTTCCTCTGCTATGAACTACAGGGAACCTGTAGTTCCCTGCTTGCAGAAGTCTTTATACCTAGTAACAAATCATCACTTAATCTCCCTTTTGCCAAATTAAACAGAAGGAAATTCTTCTTTCTTTGGTTGCATAAGGTGTTTTAATTGTATGTCAGTTCTCTGCAACGTGTCTGTGTTTTCAGCATCTCATATGACAGTGAGTACCACAGCTGTGTGACTGCTAGTTTGTCCAGTGCAATGTAAAATAATTTCCCTCTTCTTGTGTTGCTTCCCTGAAATGCCACAATATCACAAAGAAATCTCACTTCTTCCCCTCCATCTATAAATCCCAGCTTATCAAAAGACAGCCCCTCTGACTGAAGAGCTCCAACATCTGGCACCACGTCAGTGCCAAGAACACCTGAACCCAGGGGATGGTGAAAATCACAGGGGTGTCTCACACACATGGTGATCTCATTGCCCAGCCCTGCAACCAGAGCAGCATTTCCAACTGTCCAGATGTAAACTTACACCCTTTCCAATGTGGGGAAGGCCAGTCCGGTGAAACCTGGGCAAGTGCAGTTCTGCTGCTCATTTTATAAATTGTGTGGGAAGCTCTCTAATTCCACCCTGCAGCATTTACATGTTTAATCCCCTTTTGCTGTTTTTTTGAGGTTTTTCACAAATTCTTCTGCCTCAGGAGATCCTGCCTAAATGTCACTGCCACAGCACAGCCTGACCTTTTCCTGCAAGTGCTTGTGTTGCCTTTGTCACAGCTCCCAGGTGCTCCCTGCTCGCACTTCAGGGTGAGACATGCTCACAGACCCCTGCAGTATCAAGGCAAATTACTGAGACAAGTTCTTTATTTCAAATGGCATCTTCTGGCTGTGATTTGGATCCTGCTGCAAGATTTCAGTGGATAGAGCTGGTGTGGAGTCCCGCTGGACTCAATTACTTCTAAATTTTACAAATGTTTTTTGTGTTAACAAAATCTCTTCCTTTTTAAAGAAAATTAAGTGAGGTCAATAGAGGTCTGAGTTTCTTCTTGTCTGTAGATGGAAGCAGGATTCAGTTCCAGTCAGAAAATCTTTGCTGGAAAAGGTACTGATGTTGTCTTGGCAGCTTCAGTACAAAAACTGGCCAGGGGTCTGGAGAGGGTTCCTTGGCTATTCAGTACAGGTGCCCCTGTATTGAACTCACTTGCAAGAAAAGATTAGTTTCAATAAATCTCTCTGAAGTCTGTCAGTGATTTGTCCTCTTTTCTCCCCTTCCTCCACTCCCTCTTGTACAAACATCCTTTCCATTCTGCTTTTTCAAGTGTTCCCAGCCTCTTACGTGTCAGAAAGCAGCATGGGGCAAACAGCCCTGTGCAGGGCAGTCAGGATGGCTGGGAAACCCAAGGGACAGGAGGCAACACCTTGGCTGAAGTGAGCAGTTGTTACGATGAAGAAACATGTTTTCATTGAATGCAAATCTCCTCTTCATCCAGGCCAGTTAGACAATAGGGACAGAGGTTTGTTTTTCCCAAGTTGTTTCCCAAAGAAAAATGTTTTATTTCTTCTCTCTCAGATTTATGTCTTCTCTCTGACTATTGGACATCTGCTGAAGAGTTCATTAGAGACACCCTTCCAGCTGCCATAAGAACCAGCTGGATTATTGAGCCTGCAGCTCATTTTTCCTGCCTTTTTTCACTTCCTACAGTGAAGAACCAGTTTGCAATCCTTGTTTGTGCTGTCTATCCCGCATGGTGGGGACTGCTCTGTGCAGAGTGTGTCTGTCCCCAGCCCAAAACACTGCCCCTACTCATTGTGATGACTTCTGATGTTTAACTCTGGAGCACACTGTTCTCCCTGTGCTGCCTGCAGGTATCACAACAATCACACACTCACTTCACACTGTATTTTGGTTGCAGTTGGTTTTGTGGTCCTGTGTCCTTTGCCAGCACAGCCCGGAGATGTGGGGCCCAGGATTCTGAGTGTGCCCAGGACTGGCACACCCTGTGTGTCCCACGTGTCAGACTTTGTCTGTTCCCTTGTCAAGGACAGAGCTGCTGTCCCTCATTCCCTGGCAGAGGCCATGGACTCCCCCAGTCCCAGGGGATTGTTGATTGCAAAAAAGGGCTTCAGCGTCACCCAGCCTGCCAGGGAGGCTGACAAATCCATTAAGTTTCCTGAGGTAATGAATAATAAAACAACTTTTGATTCATTGTGAGGAGCCAACCCTTTCTGAGGAGGAGGAGGAGAGGACTTTTATTTCTTTACAAAATGAAGCAGAAGGGTGGTTTATGCAGTGTGGACACCAGAGAAGATTTAGGGGTAGCTATAATTTATTTGTCCACAGATTGAAATTTAACTTAAAGCAATGCCTTCAGTCTGGAAGAGCTTCTTGCCTTATTCCAGAAAGCTATTTGTGATCAAAATCCTTTTATCCCCTGACCTGCAATGGGAGCTGTGTTTATTCCTGGCTGAACACATGAGCACTGCTGGCATTAATTCCATCAGGCTGTTCTCTAAATTCTTCATCATCTCCTGCATTGATGTTAGTTATTTGCATTGTAATATCCAACTGAAAACCTGCAAATTAGATTTGGGGAAGCTGGGCACTGAAGCACTTTGCTCAGGTGATAATTTCATTTACTCTTAAGATATTGCTTAGACCTAAATGTGAACATATCCTCTCTTCCTCCATACTACACACTCCCAGGCACATAACATCTCATTTAATTTGATTTTAAAAGTGTAATTTTAAATGTCTGAGCAACTGGTAGACAAAAAACATTGGATCAACTTTGAGAAATAAACTTAAAGTGCCAGATTCACTGGGAACACCCAGTGACACCACTATGTTATAGCACAATATTAAATAGAGTAGAGGCTTCCCAGCTGGCTGCAGGAATCTGTGCATTAAAATTTAAAACACAATTGTAGTTTGTGAAGGTGACAGAGATAACACCGACCTGGATTTTCCATATCCAGCATGTCTCTACTTAATTGGTTTCAGTCAGGATTTTCAGCTAGTCTGGTGTGCATTAACCACACACTGTGATTTCTGGTGAAGCAGCTTTTTTTTTTTGGAAACACAGATGTGTGTTCTGGTTCTCTAAATTAGTGGGGTTACAGTAATTCCTTGTGATGCCAGGGTGGAAATTAGATCATGAGTCACACTGTAGTTGACATCTGGACTCTGCTGCTCAGCTGGCAGGACTGGAGCTGTGGAAGCCTTCTGCAATGTGAAAGTTTTAATAAAATATCTAACTTGTCATGGGCTCTGAACTCATCATATAGCTCCTTAATTGCCATGCATATACAAGCTGATTTTTTATTTTCCCTAAGCAAATGAGAGAGGAAAGGATTTAAGTATCAAATTGTGCCTTTCTCATTCAGTATAGTATTTTGCATATCAGTAAAATTTTTTTCATTTTTTTCATCCAGATTTGCATGTTCTAAATGAGCCCTTTGGCTTATCATGGCAGCTATTGGTACAGAGGGAATTTATAGGCACTGAGGAGTGCCTGTAAGAAGTGTCATGCGCACACATTAGTGCATTATCTGCAGGGCTTTGGGAAACTGCTGGGGTTTTGCTAGCATGTGGGAAAAAACCACACCAGAAAATTGAGAAACTAGGTCATCTGGATTCATTTGCTGCGTCTTTGCAGCTGGGCTTTTGTTGCTGCTCAGACTGACATATCTGAGCTCACACAGATTGTGCTGCAGCAGGATTCTGTGGCCTCCTCCACGCCTGCTGTCCCTGCATTCAGCTTGTTCAAGCTCCTGGAGGCCGAGGGCAGGGTTGTGTGGAGCTGGCTGTGAGCTCTTATGAGCAGTAAGAGGCTGCCTCTGCCTCAGAGAGGGTCCCTGCAAGGTGCTACAGAGAAAGGCATTGGCACACAAGGAGATGTTCACAAGCTGCAGCAGAGTGGTTGTCAGAAAGAACAGCCAGCTGTGGGTCCAGGTGTGCACCTCCCTGGACTGGTCTGCCTCTCACTTTATTTTTCTTCAGCTACTTGTTCCTCCTTTCCTTTTTTCTAGACAGCACAAGAGCATCTCCAGTCTAGGCTGCTTTTCTTCCTCTATCTCAAAACCCTCCTGAAAAATTTGCCAGACCATTTTTGGTGCAAGTGCTAATTTGGTGGCTGTGTTTAAATTCAGTATAATCTCATTCTATTGGTGAATAATGATCAGAAAGATTAAACTGTGAAGCTGAGATTGTAAGGAGTACGTACATTGCTTGTTTGCACAGTGTACTGGACACAACCATTCTCTCATCACATGAATATATTTTCTACTGTTAATTTTCCTATACAAAAATTATATTCTCTGCTGTGTCAAGGAAGTTTGGTTTCATTCCAAGTGCTCAATGGATTTTCTCTCCTATAATCAAGATTATTCAGGGAATGAGACTGCTATGGACTGTGCCCATCTTTGTCTGTTCTTTCTCCTTCCCTGAGAACTTGTGATAAGAGGGGTGCAGAACCACTAAGGTTTTAAGTTCACCTGAGCTGAATGCAAGGCAAGAGCTCCCAGAGAAGGAGATTCTGTTAGCACCCTGCTCTATGGTGAGAGGATAATTCACAGATTCAGCCCTTATTAAGCTCTTAAGATCCCCGTAAGACAGGACTGATGAGTCCCAGCTGAAGAAGTTTTGGTCAGAGCACACACCTTAGTCAGCACCAAGGTCATACAAAACATGATTTCTTCTTACAGAACCATTTATTGTCTGGTTCAAGTGAACAGTGTGGGTATTCTTCAACTTGTAGTCTTCTGTAGAAGATACAGACTGTATCAGAGCAACAGATGATACACCAAGTTCAACACATATTTTATAATATTTTATTTTAGGTGGAAAAACTGGCGAAGTACTTGGACCCAAATGATTTGGGAAGAATCAATTTTAAGGACTTCTGTCACGGAGTTTTTGCTATCAAAGGTATGTGCATATTTCTTAAAAATAATCCAGTTCAGTTCCACTAATGTTTCTGTGGTTGCAGAAAATGTAATGATCAAAGACATCCTCTCTTTTAACTGTGGTTATTTGTAGTGACAGTAGAGCAGCTCTGGGAACAGAGCCAGGATATTTTTCCATTTTGTGCATCTCATGTATTAATGGTGAGCAGTGCTAGAGTGCCTGCATCCATAGGTGCTTGGGCACTGGTTTACTGGGTTTTGTGGGGTTTTTTTGTTGTTGGTGTTGGTTTTGGTTTTTGGGGTTTTTTTTGTCAGAATAAATGTGTTGTGGTTTAAAAACAAATACGGCAGAACAAAAAGTAGATTTGTGGTTAAGAGGCAGGGCCCAGGTTTGATACTTCCAGATTCTGATCTTGTTCTGCCACTGATTTACCTCAGGGACTTAGGGAGCCCTTGGGCTTTCGGTTCTCTAGTAGGAAATTTAAGACTATTATATTCCTCTTGAGGTATCTACAAGGTATAATTAATTCATGTTGGGGTCATGAATTGGAAGGAAATAAGTTAATTACAGATTGGCAATGTGAACCTGGAAGATTAAGATCAGGTGGATCCAGCCGCCTCCATTCTAAGGAAACAGTCCTTGGCAGAAGACACAGACATTGTTATGCTGATAGGCAACAAATAAAACAGTGAGGAGGAACTTCAGCTGATTTGCTGCTGATTGCTTTTCTAACTTCCCATAGTGAAATAATCCATCTTTTCTGGACATGTGGTGTGTCCTTTCTAAAGCGTTGGAGTGATGTCATAGCCCAGAGGCTTCACGTCAGGGATAGGGTGAATGTCACAGTGATCACAGTGTGGTTCCAGGAGAAGCCTCTGGAGAGTGTGCTATGATGAGATTATTATGAAGCTATAATGATGCAAAAACGTAAAACCACAGTACTTTTAATTAAAGTTTATGTCAGCCAAAGACAGTGTATAATTAGGTGAAATTACAGTGAGAAGCTGCTCTCATCAATGTTCTTGGAGACAACTGTCCAAGGTGACACTGATGTGTTTGAAGAGAAGGCAAGAGAAAGCCCAGGAGGAAAGTTATTACATTTGTGCACAGACCCTAAAGTCACTACTTGGGGTTTTCCTTGAGCAGAAAATTCTGTAGCAAACTGAGCTCTAGTTTAAGTAAGACAAAAGCTCTGTAAATCATCTGGTGTCTTCTGTAACTCACAGTCTAGAGATTGCACAAATGCACAAAATATGACCAGGAAGGGATAGAAATTACTCAGAACATCTCTTTTGTGGTAATTGTGCCCTTGTCCATGTACCCTCAGTGATGGAGTGGGCAGCTGCATATCTTTTACTGTGGGGACAGCGTGAGAACATTGAGTTATCAGAGTCATGAGGCCTTGGGGGTTTTCATCCTTGCTCACCTTGTGGGAACTAATTCTTTTGTTCATATCCTAAGGTTTAATACCTTGCACTCCAAGTTTATGGATGGCTTAAAGCCCAGTTTGCGTGGTGGTTGTTAGGCTGTATCTCTGAACAGATGCAGAGAAATCACCCAGTTCTGCAGCATCACCTAGAGCTCCTTAGCACATCTTTAGCATTTCAACACTTACACCGACTCTGTGCCAAGTGTTTATCATCCAAGCAGCAGCAGCTGTATCTATTTCTGATAAAACACTATGCTGCATGTTTTCACAGCATCTCTTTGGAAAAACTGCTTCTATTGCTCACCTCACAGCATGAAAATTTTATTCATTTTTGGCCTGCCATATTTTCCTTAAAAATTAAATTGCTTATGTTAAAGTTCAGAAAGAGCATGTCTGTTCTTCAGAATGGAAAGCCTCCACCATGTTGTTTTAGTGCAGCCACATCCCAAGGGAAGTAGCAGGATTATTATCAAACAAAAGCAATTTGTCTTGGCAGCAACAGATTATAAATACAATTCTTTGACATCTCAGCCTATTACAATTGCTTGGGGCAGTCAGATTAATAGAGCAAAATGAGATGCTACTATAAATCCACTGGGGTTTTCAGTAATAGAGTATGAAGTTATGCTATTCTTAGCAATGGAAGCCAAATGTTTAAATTCAAGCTTTACAATCCTAATGCCTTACTATATTTCTTATTTATGAGATTTCAAATTAATTTGTCTTAAAGATGCTTGCCTTTATAGTACGGTGACAAAATTGCTTCACAGAGGTGATACAGTGTCAAGGTTTTTTGGTGGTTCAGTGCCTTGAATTTATTTATATCATGAGGTTTGAGATATCTAAGAGCAACAGATTCAAATCAGAGTTGACCTCTGATGATGTTGGTTTGAGCATATCCAGGGTTGGATTTCTGTGGAAAGCTAAATACTGGAACTTGAAAAAAATCCCAAACATCTCAGTGTTTAATGCTCTGTAAATGGTTGACAGAGGAACTCCTATCCCTGGATCTAAAATTTGCAGCTTGGCCTCTCTCCTCCATAAACCAGGGCATTGTTTACTCTTGTATGGTACACATGAAAAGTGTTGTGTTCCTCTGCAAGTGGACATCAAGCCTTGATTCCTCCTGGAGCTGCATAAACCTCCTGACATATGGGTCATGTACCAGCAGCAGCTGCTGCTGGGACTGTCATGTGGAAAACAGTTAATTTGCTTCAGCTGCTAGGCAGCAGGAGCTGTGGTAAGGATGAGCAGTCTCACTGACAGTAAGACCTTGGGAAGTGGTGGAGAAGATTTGTTCAAGTAGAGGTAAATATGCTAGAGGGCAGAAGGTTTTGAAGGAGCCCTTTCACACTGTGTCTCTGGGATGGAATACTGCTAATGGTGCTTGCTATTTATGGAAAACTTTGCTCCTTTTGCTGGTCTTTTGTGGATTTACCTTGGCATATGTGCTGAGTCCCTGCTGTCCAGGCTGCTTTCCCTATGCAATTAGGCTTTGCCAGAGCCAGGGATGGGCTTGCCATCAAACTTAAAGCTTTGCAGCAATTTCATTGGAATGCCAGAGTATGAAGGATTTACTGGGGCTCAAGCTGCCCTCTCTATCTGCTGCCTGCAGGGTTTTAATAACAATCTGCCTGTAGAGCAATTGCCATGAAATAACACCTGTAGCCTCTTACCCAAGTGCTTTGTGGCACTGCTCAGAGACACTGAGAGAGCCAGAATATCACTCAAAGGCTGAATTCCCATTAATTTCAGCAGGGTCAGCATGGGAACCATTACTGTTTGCTCAGCAGAGCCAATGACTGTTTTTGCTGTTCTGATTTTATAATGCACTGATCCAGTAAATATTTTCTGCCACTTGTAATACTTAAAGGCTTGAGTGGTGCTGCTAATTCCCTGTGCTCTGCAGGCTGGTAGGTTCCACAGTCAGATATGTTTGCAGGACCAGGCTCTAATTGAGTCTGACCTGTTCTTTGTGTTCTAAGATTTCTATTGTCTTTCCAATAGTCTCTTTACTTTGATATTCTGCTTAAAGGTAGCCAAACCCTGACAAATAAAGGGGGAGCTCCCCCTACTGCCCTCGGTGTTACAGCTCACAGTGATAAGAGGGTAGTCTATGAACACAGATTAATACAGAATTAAAATACAAAGGCAGATGTATTCTGACTTTATAGCTTATTTTAACCATGAAAACAGTGCTGACTGCTGTGTAGTGTTTGGAGGATCATGGCTTTTATAACGGGAGAGACTGAGCCACGTCAGCACAGAGCATTCCTGCATTTATGAGTCTGTGTACTTTAGCAGAATCACTGTTTTTTCAGATTAAATCATACAGCCTGTTGTTCTCCTGGAGCAAGGGATTCTCTCCCTCATCTTGTAGAAGTTTAAGGACATTTTAATTATGCTTGGTTTTGGAATTTGAAAACGGAGAGTTGTAGGAGCTCCTTCATATTCATTAACAGTGTGGAAGAAGCACAGCTGTGAATTTATACACTTTCCCACCTGCAGCAATAGCAACCTTTGAATCTTCAAAATAGTAACACAGGCCATTATGTGCCTTCAAAAATCCATCTCTGTGCTTCCCTAGATCCTGAGGCATCTAATTACTGCAGTTGCTTGGAAAGCTTTTAGAAGTAGGCTGTATATAAGCACCTAAAAGTTAAAAAGTAGATATGTTTCTCTCTGAGTTCCTAGCACTTTTTAATGAAAATTCCAAGAATACAAATGTACCCAAAGTTTCAAAGAAATGTTCCAAAAGGGATGTTGGCTGTTCTGCTGGCTCAGACTGTGACAGGTTATTTGGACTGTGAAATAATATGAAAATAATAAGGTATGAAATTTGATGGTGTTTTTTCAAAACAAAGTTTTGTAAATGAGCGTTATTTCTGGCCTTCTGATTCACTGGAGATTATTTTTTTCTTAATAGCTTTTATAGTTTCATTCAGATACGCCAAGCAAACATATTTCTCACAAAACCAGTGCCAAGTTTTGGCCATTTCCTTCAACTAATTATAAAATTTAATTTGCAGTCCCATAGCTGAGAAAAGAATTTTACCAGCTATGCCATGAAGGTCCAGCATGGACTAAGAGATGAGTATGTTGCAGTCATGTAAAAGGGAGTTTATTTGCCTGTAATATCTAGGACCAGGACAGCTGAACCAGCATGGGAATTTCAGTAAAGCACATCAGAAAACGCCAAAGTCTACATGAACCTATTTAGGTTCATAGCTACAGATCTCAAACTTCAGTGAGGCTGTAACTGGAGATGATCTGATGGATCTATCCCTTCTGGTAAGAGTAACTTACAGATAGGGGTGGTGCTTGGGATGGCTCCAGGGACAAGGACTGTCACTGAATGTGCAGAGTTGAGCTCTCCTGGAATTAATTACCTATAGCTGCTCAATGAACTGAAATTTGCTACTCCTGAAGGTACTTGAGAGTTTTCTAAGACTTCACTAATTTCACTAATAACACCCTGAAATCATAAATAAGTCTAATGTGCCACTAAAGATCCAAGGACAGATAAAGTAAAAAGCTCTTGCTGTTAGGAAAAATGCCAGATTCAATTAGGTAACCAGATTTGATTTCCTATAGTATTAAAATTGCCTCATTGCCTGTGAAAATTGTCTGATGTGTTATGGGTTAAATCACCTTCTTGAAGCATTTGCAGGAAACAGCTTTGCTAAAATTGAGTTCATTTGTTGCCAGAATGTCTGTTTGCAAATTGAATGTTTGTTAGGGTGGGAAAACCATTTTTAAGTAAAACTGATTGTAAATTTGTAAAATTATCTTGTAAGGGATATCATGTCTAGCACCTTAGTGAATGGAAAAAGTTGGCTGTTCATGTCTTCCCCTTCAGTGACTTGTAAATGACTTTCATCTTTTTTGCTTAGGACTGAAGATGACCCTGTTCTGTTTGCTTTTTCATTTGTAGTATTAGGATAAATATTTTTAACTTGGATAATTTTGACAGACCAGACTAGAGAGTGACTCAGTGCTTTGATAAACTAGAACTCGTACACATCCCTGTTTCAAAGAGTCTCTTGAGTGGACAGAGAAGATGCTTCTGTGGTGGCCCATCAGGTGTCTTTAGCCAGGAAAGAAAATTCAGCATCTTCTGGCCACTCTCATTTTGTGATCTGATTGTTTAGTCCTTTCTCCAGACATAAGCTTGCTGCCAGTCTGCATCACAGTGATTTTAATCAGACACAGCCTTTCACAGTGTTTCTCCATGAAGGGCACCCTTCAGTGGAGCTGCAGCAGTGGGTGCACAAGGAGCTGGAGCTAGTCCTGGCTTGCTCTTTTCTCTCTCTGCTTCCTCACTCTTATTGCAGTGCAGCTAGGTCTTCTTGCCAAGTGCTGCCCAGAAATGTAGATGAAATTTTCCCAACTGCAGCAAAGGAGAGAGAACATTGAGCACATTAATATCTTATGATACAGGTAGACATCCAAATGAAATATCTCTAATCAGCCATGTAAGTGGCTTTCAGTTCTACCTTTTCTGGGAAAATGAATTTATAGCAATAATGGAACATCTCTAGTGCAAGAGGTCCTTAAAGTAGCCAGGAATTATTCCTTTGCTTCACTGCAATGGGTTATTTTTGGACAGATTCTAGCCTTGGGTGCACACTGCTGCACAGCTTGAAATATCCACCACGGCAGTTCTGCAGACCTCAGCACATGGGGTTCTGCTCAGGAGTGGCTCTGCTAGCAAAGAACAAATCTTTGTCCAGTACCTTCCTATTTCCATATTGAGATTTGCCAAAGTAAACCTCGATTTGTTGTTGTTTTCTGTCTGGACTGTGACATACTAATTTAGCTCACTGCACTTCCCAGGCTGCAAGCCAGGGTATGTTCTAATAAGAACACATCCTGGGTAATAAGAGCACACATGGCACAGCATTTGAGACACTCCAGTGCTCTCTCTTTATGTTACACCATTGTGTAACCCTCCTGGAGTACCTGAAAAATTCAAATTATATTTAGATGAGGGGAGAAAAAAGTGAGATTGTATTGACACTGTTGCAGAAAAACACTGAATAAGAAAGCTGTGCATCACCTTCCTGGTGATAAGGGGTGGTCCAAGGAAAAGACCAGCATCAATCCTCCAGAGTGAAGAGATTCCAATTTGTGTCCTCATGGGGAAGAGAAGAACAGAGAACTTATTCTTAAAACTCAGTTCTTAACAGGAATAAAAAAGTGGCACAATCTTGAGATTCTTGAAGCCAGTGGCCATTTTCTCATTCATTTGCTGGATGCTGGAACAGGTTCAGATGTCTGCGAGGTACCGATGATGTGGTTTAGTAATCTCAGAGGAAAATTGTCTCTCAGCATTTCCTTCTCTACTTCCCTTTTTAATGGAGTATAATGATATGCAGATCTTCCCAGGGGGATGAAGAGAGCCAGGCTGTCATGCCAGCTTGCATGCAGAGTAGTGCACAGGGGATACTGCCTGCTGCACACCCAGACATCTCCCTGCTAAAAACTCACCTTTACAGAAGGCGACTGGCTCAGATGAACTTATGCCCTGAATCTGCTAGCACCGATGGAAATTTGGCTTGTGGCTACAATAAAATCAAGATTTGGCTTTGTTTGCCATTTGAAGCTATGCAGTTTGGTAGTCAAATTGGATCAAATGGCTGCTGATGTTCTGGAAATGAGTTTGGTGCTTGGCCAGGTTCTGGATCAGGCTGTAGAAGCCTGGGTCAGGTGGCTCTGGTGAAGAAGCAGTGAGGGCTGCACGGAGTCAGTTGAATGCAAAGGAGGCAATGCTTTTCTCCCCAGTCTTTTTACTGAATAAATGACAGGCCAAGAGCTATCATGAAGTGGTTCTCCCTAATGGACAAGGGAAATTAAAGAATGTGATTAGATAAGAAATTAACAGCAAAGACAGGACACAGAAGACTCTATGTTTCAGACCCTGGAGATTTGAGAGCTGTTTGTGACTCTCAACAGACCAGTCTGGCTGGCCTTTTGAAAGGAGGCAAGGTAGAAAGATTTCTTACACCCTTGGTTTGGGCAGTTAAATCCTTTTTAGAAGACTCACAACTTTTGTGACTTTTCCCCACTAAAAAAAAATAAAATTGGGAGAGCACTGTTGTTAGCACAACTGCATTAGGAAAGTAAAGCTTGAAATTATGGTGTAAACTATTGTTGAGAAATTTTAGAGCACTAAACATACTCTGTTCATTACACTTATCTGCATCCATTACTGTGTAGCACTTGGTATTTATTTTCCTTTTTTGCTGGAGGTAACTCACTTTAAAAGGAGTAGTTGCTCCATCTCATGCAGAGACCTTTTAGCAAAGCAGTTCATATGTGTGATGGGTCTCACAGTGGGTGCTGGCACAAGGTAATTTGATGAGCAGTAAGCTTTAATTGTTAATGTCAAAAGGTAGAAACAATAAATTGAATTTTCCTCTGTGAGAGGAGTAGCAAATAACTTTAGGCAAGCACAGAGCACTTTAAGCTAAAACCAAGAGGAAGAAAAGGATTGTGGCTGGGTGGGAAATGTGACAGTTTCAGGTAGGGCAAGTTATGTAGAAAGATGCTCTCTCCAGGCAAACAAGTTTAACATCTTTCCTCTGTCAGCCAGTAGATGATATTTTTGATTGTTAATCCCAGATAAATTCCTCTTTGGGAAGTGACCCTACCACACATTCTTGCCCACTTCTCCAGCAAAGTGGGTATTTAACAGCTTCATTTATCCTTATTTATCTGCTCAGTACCACCTGAGACTCTCACTTTGCTGCAGAAGCTGAAAAAAGGAAACTAGTCTTGCTGCCTTTGTCCGTGTGGCATTTCTGAAGTCTAATGATGTCTCCATTCAGCAGGTGCTACCTTGACAGGTGCCTGTGTGTGGCAGACAGGGACAGCACAGTGATCCCACAGTGATCCCCCATTAGGCTTCTCCATCTGGTCATTTTTTTCTGGTTTCTAAAGTACTCCTTTCCTTTGCAAGGGACTCCTCTCCATAACCACAACATGTCTTCATCCCTACAGATGTTATTCCTTCATGTAAAACCAGGTGAGAAGGTCAGCTAATGGTTTAAACCTGTTCAGTTCACATTTCCTTCCATCACCCTGTTTCCTCTGGCTCACCTGCTTTAGGAGATGTATCCATGTGTAATGTCACAGCCAAATATATTGCATTAGTGCTGGGATGGAAGGGAGGAATAACTGCTGGGCAATTGCAGCTTCCAAGTAGGGTAGTGCACAGCACATGGTGAGAAGGTTTCACACAGTCTGGGCCCAAGGCTGTGAGCTGGGTGCTCTAAAATAACCTGGCCTGACATTACTGCCTTCCACAGCTCACCCTGCCAAGTGGAGTCACTGGCAATTAATGGGGAACAAGGCATCTGGTGATTTCAGTGTTTCTATATTTGTCTCAGGTTTTCAAATGAGAGAAAGGACCAAGGGAAACACAGATATTGATTTTTCCAGCTCTTAATGTGGTTGTTAACAAAAGCAAACACACAAGCTTCGAATCTCTGGTTGCAGTGCATAGATATTTGCTTGTGAAACATTCTTGTGGCAGAGCTGTTTTTGAAGGGGGGGTCTGTGACACTTAGGCATTGCCCCTTTGTCATTTTGACCAGAGAAAATTAGAAGCAGCTCCACCTGACACTGATGTGCAGTAGTTGGCAGATCATGCCAAGCCTGCAAATGCAGTGTTTGACTCCAGAGCCTGGGTTTGGTTAGAGGTGGGTTTGTACCCCACAGGGTACCTAGCCAAGCAATGCTCAGCTTTCAGTTTCATTGCAGGCTAGTGTATCCCTGCTGAGATAATTGCACTTTTCAAGTTCCACATGTTGAATTGTGTGCTGGGCAGAACTCTGAAGGCAGAGTTGTGTTACACCTATTTAAATAAATCCCAAAGCTGCCTTCCAAGGTTTTGTACATACAGATTGTCTAGAAACCAGTGTTTCTTCCTGCATTGTCCATGCAATGGAAGATAAGCTCTTGGCCTTACCATTTCCTCTCATTTCTCTTTACCAGGCTGTGAAGAGTTACTGAAAGATGTCCTGTCTCCTGAAAACTCTGAGCCCCAGCTCTACCAGCCACAATATGTTGATTACTATTACCAGGTAAGAGAAGCACTAATTCTGGCTCATATTTATGGGCTGAGGAAGCCTCTGGAGTGATGTGTAGTTGGATCATTGTAAATGTTGCTGTTTTACTTGGCCTGTTGACTCCTCCTTCCTTCCTCGGTTCATGGCTGTTAGCAAGCCATCCATACTGTTTTAGTTGCATTTAACACGGGTAAACTGTTGGGAAAGTGTTTAGCATTTAGGTAATGTTCCTCTTAGAAGCCTCAGTATTCACCTGGCTGTGAAGGGAGATCCCTGTACAAGCTCGCTGGCACCTCACAAGTGCAAAACACTGATTTGTATCTAATTAAATCAGTCAAACTTTGTAAGTGAACAAGTCCTTAGGGACCTTCTGCAGATAATAAACAGGTCCTCAATAGCTGTTGGGAAGCAGAAACAATACACTTTGGAAACCTTTGCTGGTATTTTGGCTGGTGGGTGTAGCATATTTTTAAACCATTAAAGGTCCTCATTTGTATCCTTAATTTGTCAGTGTCTGTTCAGTCTAAGAAGTAGAGTACAGCTAAGTTTTCCTTTTAGCATCTCTTTGTCCCTTCTTCACTTCACTTTGGTTTTAATCGCCTCCACCCACCTAAAGATTAAAGGTGCAGTTAGCATAGTGCATTCAGAGAAGGATTGTGTGTCAGTGGTGTTCTAGACTGCAAATGATACTGAAATCTACAGGAAAAGCATTTTACCTTCACAGGCAGTGAAGTGTGAGGACAATTCTCAGGTGCTGAGGAAGGATGTGATAAGTGTGTTCAGTTACACAGAACAGTTTCACTGTCCATACAAAGAATACAGAGACATTTCCTGCACCTCAGTGCCCATCACCACTCTGCTTGTTTCTAAACCCCTGGTTTTTGTAACTGATGACACAGACACCCACCATGCTGTTGCTTGGTTACCTTAATAGATGCCATAAACCAAACTCCTTGGTTTGCAGTAGCTGAAAGAGGCTATAAAATGCAAACAGGCTCTGCACACAGTCAGTGTTGCCCTGTTGCTGTGCAGATGTGTCAGGCTGGTTCTGACACTCTTAGAATGCAGGTGACAGTTGGGTCTGTATTCCATAGAGACTTCACATCTGCGGTCATGCAAAGATGTGCTGGGGAGAGCTCTTGAAGACAACCTGCAAAACTCTGCAAACTGCACCTCTTCTGCCATCCGTCCTCCAGGAGAGCCTGAGGGTGGAATTGCAGTTGCTAATCCTGGTAACAGCTGCTGAGTTTCCTAATTGAGTGCTGGATTTGTGCCTCTGGCAGAGGGAGGGGGCAGAGGGTGACCCTCCTGCTGATTTGACACTACTGTGCTGGAAGTCTTGCTGGTCACTCCTGATGGCCACCAGCCCCCTGGATGGTCCCTGCAGGGGTGGCACCACTGCAGTGAGGTCCTGTAGCAGTGTTTGCCCACTTTAATGGAGCCAATGCAGGATTTGTGCAGCCTGGGAGCAGAACCAGGTTCTTCCACACCTGCCCAGGCCAGGTGAGCTGTCATGGTGGGGAGAGGACAGGGAATGGTGTGCACTGTTGTACATCCCACAGCTCTTCTGCACCACTGCTCTCCGGAAGGGCTGGTTCCATCTCCCATTTCCCGGTCCTTCAGGTGCAGTTTGGAAACTGTTCGCTAGATGTCAGCTAAAGACTGGGAAAAGGCTTGAACAGCCTCTGCTCCCACCTTAAGGAGCCTGTGCTGTGGCAGGAAGTTGAAATTTTCTAGCTGATGAAGTAGAGGAGAACTGAGGGTCAGGTGGATTTGAGGCTGTCATCATTCATGATGTTTGTTCCCCGTTCCCAAAGAAGAACATGTGGAAAACATACAAGCTGTCCTTGCATCTCCTGGACATTAATGAGTGTGAATTCCTGGTGCTGTAATCAAATTTATGGGCAGCTCCCATTGGATCAAATGGTAGTTGCCTGTCTAATCTGATTTTTACCCCAGTACGTCCTTTGCATGTCTCTCTGATTCTCAGGTGCACTCAAATTCCCAGGCAGCAGAAGGACACAACTGCTATGATGGCACAACTAGAAACTTTAAAAGGGAATGCATCTTTTTTATTCCACCCAAGGGGCTGTGCTTACACAAAAGCAGGTGCTGAGCTGGTTCATTGTTATGCTGTCTTTGCATTCATGTGAAAGGAAGGACTTGAAAGGAAGTTTCCCCTGTCCTCTGCTTTCACTTGTCCTTCCTTTCCCAAGAGCCCCCTCCCTGTATTGTAGCTTTCTGAAGCCCAAAGGCATCAAACTGAAGAGGTAAGGGTAATTCCATTTGTGGGATGAAGTGGCAGGAGCCACTGTGAAGTGCTGAACTAGTCCAGCTGTTTGCATATGTTGAGTCAAGTGGAGAAGAAACTGCCAAACCTCCAGCCTTTAATTAAAACTGAATGCAATTTATTTATTGGGATTTATAAAACCTCCTGATACCAGGAACTTGGGGCATTTAATTTGATGTTTTTTTAATGGTCTGATTTTACTTTTTGTTTTTCTTCAGTGTAAACAAAGAGCAAAAGCTGACAAGCTTTTAATGTCTGAAAAATTTGTAAAAAAATCCTATTGTGCATGCAATTCAAAATGTAAAGGCCATTCCATGGAAGGTTCTTAATGGCCTGTATTGAGAGGCTGTGTGAATGATATCACAGGCAAATGGAGAGCTCTGCCTTTGGGCTCAAGGCTGTTAGGTGTGATATGCAGAACATAAAGAGCAAAACTTTTATGGGTTACTACAGGATGTCTCACTGACTTCCATCAGCATTGATTCATGCTGCAGAGCGTGTCTTCTCTTTGGACCAGAGACAGCTGATCCAAAGAAACTTAGGAGGCTGGGATTGCAGTTAGGAGATAGCAGTTCTAGAGCCTTTCAGCTTTGGGACCTACAAATAAACCTTTTCTGTCTGTCTGTGAGTTGACTCTGTTGATTTGCTTAAAGTCTGAATTGTGCTCCATTTGAGGCACTGCTTCAGTCAAGTGCTGTTCATTAGTATAATTTCTGTCTCTCTGAGCCTTTAGAGAGGTAATAGAAATACTCAGAATTTGCCAGAAGCCAATTTGTCAATCCAAATTCCTTTCTCAATGTTTGCTTTGATGGCCTCAACTCTTGTTTTGGCTTTGGTTTGAAGGGAGACAAAAGTCTCCCTAGTCCAGTTTGCTTTGTGGCGGGCATCTAGTAGCACTTCAGAGCCCTTGGATAGCCTTTTGGAGATGGTAACCAACACAGAGCCCACAGCTGAAGTTTGTGTGTGAAAAGCCAGGCTCGGATTGAGCCAGCTCAAACAAAGCAGAGTGCCTGTGTCTCCAATTTCCAAAAGGCTGGCTCTGGGCCTCCCCGGGCACCCAGCCAGCTGGGAGCACTAGCCACAGGACTCACAGGGAATTAGGCTGGCTGGAGCTGCAGCTCTCTGGCCAAGATTTGCATTGCAGGCCCTGGGAAGCGGTGGTGTGGGTCTAGGTGCTCTTCTGTCTGAGCACTTAAGTTTAGGGAAATGGGAATCAGAACAGGAGCTCCTTTGTCAGCTCTTCACCTGTTGGCTGTTCAAATTTGAAGGGAGCCTGATCACCCCAATAGGTGGCAGAAGAAGGGGCTGAGTGACAGATCTTAGAGCCTCTCGCCATCAGCTAGCAGGGCACCTCTGAGTGCTCCTTCTCAGGGAAGGGACAGACTGTTTTTACATGTGAGTTGTTGCCTTTTCATCTGGAATCAATGGCCAAAAGCCATAGTGCAAACCCAGTGGAATAGCATGTTGTAAGGAACAATATTGGCAGGGTCCTTGTTTCAGTCAAAACTATTTGTCTCTTATTAATTGTTGCTGTATTGAGTTACACGTACCTTTTTTTTTTTTTTTTCTGTTCCCATCTGTAAATAAGAGTGAATGTCTCTTACCAAAGTACAGGATGATCGCTGCATATCAAAGAATGAGCTGTCTTTTCAGTCCTCTGTGTGTTCCCCTGCCTGCCAAGTGATTAATTACACTGTATGAACAGCAGAAAAATTGTTGAAACATGACAAATAAATTGTGTTTGCCTCTGGGATGGAGCTGGGACTGCTGGCTGATCTGCTTTGAAAATATTTTCAGTAGCAATTAGGAGTCCCTCACCAGCTTCTGAAAAAAGTTGTTCCTCCCACTGGCTGCGTGAGGATATCTCCAAACACCTGTGTCAGAGCAGAGGGGACCTGCACTGTGAAAACACTGTGATACAAATGGGCTTTTCACTAGGCTGTGGAAGACGGTAGCAGGAGACCCTGTAACCAGAATATTTTTAATTTTAATCTCATACATTCTGTGTTTAGAAGCAATGACTCCACTTTGACCATTGAGTTGCCAGTGTTCTTGGAGAGAATAATTGACTTCATTTGTTAGAAGGTTTTTCTTGATAATGTTTTTCTAACACAGGTGTTGCCTATCTTAATGTGAAATATATCTTTCCTTCCACCTTCTGTGGCAGCAATAGTGGAGACACTCCTATCTTAACAAAAAAGCACACAAGTGGTTAAGGTGGAAATACCTTTTCAACCAATGGCCAAGAGAAGCCAGCCAGTATGGTAAGGACAAGCAGTATTAAATACATCAAACTGAACCTTTTTTTCCCCTGTTTTTTATCATCCTCCAGTTTTCTCTACCACCCACATGCTCTCAGTCACTCTCAGTGTGTTTTCAGCCCTGTAGATGCTCAGTGTGAAGATTCCCCTCCCTATGCTTGGGACCTGGGGTGTTTCTGCCCCTCTGGGATCACACAGTGCACATTTGGAAGTTGGTCCCCTTGCCAAGCTGCTGGGGGGCTCCTGTGTCCTGCTGCCACCATGGGACCTGTTGCATCCAGAAGTCTGTTTTAGATCTAGTGCTTCTAAATCTGCCAGGTTCTCCTTCCCCTCAGAGAAATAAGTATGTTCAGCATCTCCAGAGATGGCCTTTGGGAGGCTCAGCCTCAGGATTGATCCCAGCCCCTGCTGAAATTAGTAGAAACACTTCTTAGACCCTGATCAACCTCTGGGGTTGTTCCCCA